TATGTTTTCTGAGAAGCATGATACACCGGTCACGCGAATTATACGGTAGACAGTTAGTTTCACATACACTGGACCGTCAAAACGGGAATAACTGTCTTAATATAACAGTTTACAGCAAATTATATGCCTTTTAAAGCTATGATATATGCCAATAAATTGTGGATAGCCTGCAACAGTTTGAGCAAACATAACGCTCAGATACTTTAATAAGCCATTTGTTTACGACGGTTTAATCAAACGCCATCCCTGTAAATGTATGGCCTTTCAATACAAACTAACATTTTTCTTTGATGCCAGGACAACGTCCTGAAATAAGGTTATGAGCAGGCAGATAAGGGCAGCTTCAGTATGGGAGATCGATCTTTCTCCTTTATTCCTCTGTAGCCAATCAACACTCTCGAGCCAAGTAGAGTAGATAGCTGTGTTCAAAAGGATGCACTGAAATCCGCTTGATACGCAGTACGGGAATATGGCAGATTAGGGGACGATTATCTACCAGACGTACTGCAGTGGTGTAGAGGCATAGTAAGTAAATGTTGACTTCTATTGTGGAAATAGAATAGATGGGCTACATTATGAGATTTTAACCAAAATTTCGAAATGCGTTTTCGATTAGAAAGAATTAATAAAGGACAGTTGTTATAGTAATTATTGTACAGCAGAATTGCGCGCGATTAGAGGCACGTAAGAATACTGACTTGCGAACCAACGTCTTTTCGGTCGCCTTAAAAAAAGCAGAAGTCTTGAAAAGATGACTGCCTAAGCAACATCGATTGTTTTGCATTCAGTATGCCCTCTTAAAACTATTAAGAAAAAAGGTATATTTCAGTTTTAAAAACCTTCTAAATTCCTGAGTCATTTTGAACCCAACTTTCTGTTACATTTGCATGCAAGGTTTCCAAACAACAAGCCTTATATTTTTTGTGTAAGACAAACATTCATTCATCTAGAATTGTGAGGAGGGGATTTTATGCTGCTCATATAAAGTTTAGATGGATTTTTAGTGTTTACGTTACAAGCAGGATTGATAAATAGAAAATACGATGTTCACGGTCTTGCAAATTCTCAAAATTTGCAATTTTTTAAACCTTAAGGTACTATCTCGTAAAGTACAAA